AATTTTTCTATATATTTTTAGTTGTCCGATTAATTTCTTTCTATTTTTAGTAGAGACGGGGTCTCGCTCTTGCTCAGGCTGGTCTGGAACTCCTGAGCTCAAACAATCCCCTCACCTCGGCCTCCCAGAGTGCTAGGATTACAGGCGTGAGCCACCGCGCCCGGCCCAAGGAGTGAGCTTTCTGCATCACTGACTTCTTCCCCTAGTTATGCTCACGTGGCCTGACTTAGTGCGGGGCAAAGATTTATTGCCTGTGTCAGTGGGCGACTGTGGTTTGGGGTAAGAAGACTGCTTTTATATTCAGCTTGAGATGGATAACCTCCATTAGTACAGCATCTGAGGACATTAAAATTTAAGGTGTGGCTCTCTTAAATAGGCGCAATTTATGTTTTTTCCTTTGGGTATACGGGAAAGTACCTGAGAACTTGACAATGGTTTTTGCTCGAAGATCATAGAGACCAAGAGGTTTCAGAAGTTCTGACACGTCTCTCCAGTCTGCAGTCCTTGCTACCTCAGCTGAAGGGTACTTCTCCAGAAACTTCCAAAGTACAGGTATTGCCATTTTGCCTGGAAAATAAAAGTAACTGTATGATCACAAGTCTTCAGATGTGCCAATTTCAGGTTCAGGTAGAAATCTAGAAATCTCATCCAGAGGGTTTATTTTTTTAAGCACTGATGAGAAGCCATTACCTGAACCAGCAACCACTTTCAGAGTCAAATACCAACACTGTTAATCTATTTGACTAATAGTCCAAATTATGCTGAAACCTGGCCTTGCATGACATTAGTTTTTGTTTTGTTTTGTTTTGAAGAGACAGGGTCTCGCTCTGTTGCCCAGGCTAGAGTGCAGTGGTGCGATCATAGCTCACTATAACCTGTAACTCCTGTGCCTCGGTCCCCCGAAGTGCTGGGATTACAGGCGTGAGCCACCAAGCCTGGCCTGATATTAGTTTTTAAATAATCAGATCACCAGATAACTAGAGTAGAAGCACATAGAACACAAGGTACAGTCAATGAAAAAGAGATGCTTTTATATACACATGACAGGAGAAATGTTAACTGATTTTCACTGATGGCCAAAACTTATTTGAAAGTAGAAAATAAATGAAAATCTGTCGATTAATCTAGTCTAACTTTCTAAAAAGGCTGTTGGATATAATCTAGTCTTTCTCAAAGGTGAAGAGTTTGAGGGCAGAAAGGAGACAGTCCTTATCCAAGGTCATGCTACTAGGAATCACTATTATCAGACTTGTCAAATTTCTAAAATCACATTTAATACTCTTTAGGTGCAGCCTCTAAATTTGAATATGAGACTTGAAATTGAGTAGGACCTGGGCCTCCTAATCAATTCAATGCCTTCTTCTTACCACACTGTCTCTACTAAGAGAAAGACAAAAATAATCCACAAACCTGAGGTCCGATTGAGAAATATAGTTGCGATGAGGAGCTTCCATGGATCATGAAAAAGTGTTTCTTGAATGAGATTAAAAGGTGATCGAGGAGGTGTCCATTTCTTAAAGGCTTTGCGTCGCGGGGGGCTAAGAGCTAAACAAACATAGTGCATCAGAGCTGGACACCCAAAATAGACATAAAATCTGTTGTTCTGATTGGGAAAGGGATACCTTCTTTGTTATATTTGCTGGAAAAATATAGGCTTGTTTTCCTTTTTTCTATTTGTGTTCGTGGGATGGTGTCTTCTGAAAAGGAAAAGCGAACACTTTTTATAGAATCTATGGTTTAGCTTAAAGAAATATTCAGGGATGCAAATAATAATAATACCTCTACTATTATAAAGCTTGCCAGTCACTACTCTAAGCCCTTTACAAAAATTAACCAATTAATTCTATTAATGACCTATGAGCTTGGTACTATTTTATCTCCATTTTACAGATAAGGAAACTGAGGCACAGATAAGCTAAGTAACTTGTCCAAGGTCACACAGCTACCAGGTATCAGAGCTAAATTTCAAATTCAGGCAGTCTGGCTCCTGAGCACATGCCTTTAACCACTGTGTTACACTAGCTCTTTACGATTTATGTTCAGAGTTCATAGTATTGAAAAATTAAAAACATTATGGATTTTAAATTGTGACACATTTGTACAATGTGGTCATTAAAATATTTTTGGACTATATCATGAATATTTTCTCATGACATTAACTTCTAAATGAGAAAAGCAAGATTCTACATATAATCCCAATTTTATAAACAAGAGGAAGTAT